GGGCAAAATAGTCATTTTGACATTAAGTTGGAAGGCTCCAGAAAATCTGGAGCAAAGGGAGTGCCTCGTGTGTGGTTGTGATGGAAAGGGAATGAGAGAAAAGGGAGAGACTCAGATCAATCCGGGGATGGGGGAAAGGAGGAAAATGAGAGAAGAGATGAGGAGGGAACCCCGGGTCCCCCTCGACCTGTTCCTTTTTTGGTGACCCGACCCGATGGAAATGTTGATTTCCGAGGCTTCCTCTACACAAATTCCGACGAACTAAGCTGTGACACCTCCTAAGAAATACTCCACAACCCTCCCTCTACCTATTACAACCCAAAAATCGAGTGAAATTAGCTTTGAAAATAAGAAATCCTTCACGGTGGGTGTGACGGGTTTGTGGTGGTGATACACCAAATTTGAAGGTAACTCCGACCACCACCACTATCAATGCACTCCTAGTGAACCCAGGTACATGTCCCAAGCCTTGGTTAGGGCGGCAGAACACCGGTGGCGACGGATCGAACCACCCAAATTCTAGGTTTTCCGATGGGTTTGAGTGAAATTGGGGCTTTTACCGGCCGAATTAGACTTTGACACAGGTATAAAAGTTGTTCCCCTTAACTTGCTCTACATTTTTGTAAAATTTGAGAGCTTTTAGAAATAATGAAATTTTCCGGCGAGCCGAGGCGACGCTTGGCCAGTGAGCCAATGCCATCTTTTTAGTCTAATTTTGATATTCTGAAACCAAATTTGATAAGCACTTGGTGTGATTCACTTGTTTGAAGCTAGTTGGTGATTGTTAGTCACTTGTATGAATTTCAGAATTTGATTGAATTTGAACTGGTGAACTACGAATGACTTGATCCCTATTTAGGGTACGTAGTCCGTCTAACGAGAAGTTAGATGCAGCCATAAAATAAATGAGGTTAATTAATTTAAAATAAATCTTTCGTTTGAATTTTGCTCTAAGAGAAGGAATTAGTAATAAATCGAAAATATAATAGTATGTGCTGAAAAGTGAATCATGGTTATAGATTTTTTGTGGAATTAAGAAATTTAATTAAAGAATCATGGAGGTTGGTAGTAAAATAAATAAGAGTATTGAATTGGGCCTATCATTGGAATTATTTCCCGAAATTAAATATTTCGGGATGGGGCGTCACATACACACATTTCGGTACAAATATTAGGTACATTAATTCAATATAATACATTTCAGTGCATACATTTCGGTACACACATTTAGATACATTAATTTAATATAATACATTTCGGTGCATATATTTCATTACATACATTTCGATACTAACATTTAAATACATTAGTTCAATATAATACATTTCGGTACTAACATTAGTTCAATATAATACATTTCGGTACTAACATTTAGGTACATTAATTGAGTCTTTCAAGTTTGAAGAATGTTAAATAAAATTAGCATATGGGCACACACAAAGTGTGAGAAAATGTTTTATTTTTGTTTTTGAAATAGAAGAAGAAAAGAAGAGAGGAAGAGATTGATACAGAATGTGGGAGTGGGAAGGTTTATTTATTTATTTATTTATTTTTAATTAGAGATATGTTAGGACTACATATAGGTGAGGCTTTGAAAAAAAAGGTAAAATTTGGTTGTGTGAAATTACATTTCTACCCCATATTTCTTATTCATGTTATGTTTTAATTAGAGGGTTAAACTGGTAATTTCATAGGATTTTGGTTAACAATGAGTGTTTTATTAATTAGTAGAGATTAATAAATTAAACAACTCTTTTTTGGTCAAAAAATAAATTAAAATTTGTATGTTAATAAACTAAAATATTTAATGGGAGACATTAAATAAAATGTACATTAATTATTTGAATTAAGGACACATCAAGGGATTATAATCAATATGTAATCTAACACCATGTTTATTTTAAATTTCAATCTTCTTGAAGGATTAAAGTTAAAAAACCCCTATATATATAAATAAATAAATAAATTTTTTTAAAAAAGGACCTTACATTAAAAATGGTAAAAACGACTCCTCAAACACGGCATCACAAAAAGCAAGCAAAATTGCGCCAATTGGATCATGATGTGCTACAATTCAGTTTACGAGTGGATTGAGTATATAGATCGAGCCAACACGTTGACAACTAAAATGCCTAACATCACCAATGCCTAGTGTTTTAAATTCACGATAGCTACTTTGAATGGTTCGCATCGTTTTCCTTAATTTTAATTCCAATATCTTTACAAGTTTTCACACATATTCATAACTTCTTGTTGCCATTTATGCAAGTTCAACTTAGGTGACGCATAAGATTTATAAAAATTAAAGAAAATAAAAAAACTTAGTGCAAGTCTATTTAGCATTTTTCAAATGAAAAATTTACGGTTAATTATATCTTAAGTTTAAAACATTACAATATTATACACAAGCTTACTATTAATTATATTTTGTACTCTCAAATTTTTATTTTATTTTTTCCATGGTATTTGAGGTGTGAGAGGGAGTGGTGGTGGTGGAGAATTTCATTAATTCATGTGAAATCCAATTTTCTTGTAAGAAAGATGAACTTTTTGTTTCCCTCTACTTTCCCAACTACCGAATATAAACCAGTGACAATCTTTTTGTACAAACAAATCACTGTTTATGATAATATTAGCATCCTTATGATGAACTGTTAATTTTTTTTATATATAAATGACTAAATGATCTCTAAATTGAACGAAAATTGGATGATCATTAAACAATTACCAAAAAGAATGAACGATTTTAATCATTACATGAAGTCGATGGAATGATGTCATGTAAGGGATGACTTTTAAAGATTATATTCTTACACTTTTAACTATTTTAACTTATTATAATATTCTTAATTATAGATTTATTAGCAAAAGTTATTTTTTTATAATGAAATAAATTAAACTACAGATATAATAAAGAAGTAAAAATAGTCTAGCTCAAAAGGGCCAAAATGAGTACTCTGTTTGCACATACCCATTACGAAAGAAACCCTAATAGCAGTAGTACAGCTTAAAAAAAAAATAGGAATGCTAAGATGATTCTTGAAAAAGTGATCTTTTGAGGGTGGTGTTATCCACACATCAACTTTTACCCCTCATACACCTCTTTCAATTTCTGGTCATCGGATCGAAAGAACTGAAGAAGATCAATGGACAAAAATTAACAAGAGTGTGTTGGAAGTAAAAGGGGATGTGTGAATAGCACTCCCCACTTTTTGTTGAGAGATTTTTTATTGTGTCGGAATACAGGGTAGTGTCCCACGTGTTACTATACAATGTGGTAGGATAATTGTGTTAAAAAAAATTAACAAACTTAAAAATTAAAACCTCTATCCACTTGTACAATGACACCTGATATACCATCTGTGTTCAGGGCACAATGAATTTTTTTTCTCTCCAGGGATTTTTTACACTTTATAGTTTAACGTTAATTTCCGTACCAATATTATAAACATTGTGCGAAAAAAATGATATGACAGATAATCCATGGAGAGTCCCACTTTGAGAGATTTCTCTTAGCATTTATCCAAAAGAAAAAAAAAAGTAGGCAGGGAGTCGAACCAGTGCACAATTAAATGTGAAAGCAGTGCTTGACAACTCCACTAAAACTACTTTGCTTATTATGTTTGAGTTTTTTAAAGTTCAGAAGCCCCAAAAAAAAAAAAAATCAGGGGACCTACGTGGTTGCACACCTCGCACACCTTCAGGGCCAGGCTTGCTTCCATCAACGCCTGCGAGTTGGTGAACTGGGAGTTTTTTGGGGGTGTGATTGAATCCGAAAGTATTGCCTACATGTGTCCTGATAGGAAAGATTCAAACCACGTACAGTTCTAATAAGAGTGTGTGGTGTAAGTGATCGGCAAGATGGAAATATGTGTGTGGCGAAACCCCAAACTTGGGTATTTAGAAAGAGGATCCTCGCCGAATCCTCTTTGAAAGAATCCCAGGAATTCACTAATCACATCTGTTCGTCGTATATCATGCGGTCAGAAATCATTATAGTTTTTTTATTTAAAATGAATATAAACAGTACCTAATGAAAATTGACAGCACAATGTACGATAAACGGATGTGATTGGAGGATCCGACGAGGATCCTCATTCGGGTATTTATAGTAATCTTTGAGAATTTTTGTAGGAACAATAATTACGTTCAAATTTGAGGGTAATGTGATTAACCCAAAAACTTACATTATACGCACAGTGGAGAAATGCTAAGAAGATTTTCTTAAAAGTGAGATTCTTTATAGACTTATTGTGGGAAAAAATTTGAAGTGACAGCGAATTCATAAATAATCTCACTTTTGAGAGAGTTCTTTAATATTTCTCTTATGTGTGTTAGAGGAGTTAAAGAATTAATTAGCTTATTAATTAGCAAAAGTTAAGCAAATAGTTCTCACCATGTAGGGACCTAATCACCTAGGTGAAATTGCCACTTTTGACAAATTCACTCATTTGACTATCGACACATGGAATCGAAGAATCATTACAAGCTTATATTGTTAGGTGCCAAGTTTGATTACGCTTGGCAAAAAGATTGGATTTTTCACCCACCTTCTTTATCTTATACTTCCGTTTGTTGTGGGGGATAAGATATCCAATGACTTTTCCACAACAGTGTGCAGCGGCTGCAGCCCAAGGTGCAATAATATGTAAGGTTGAGTCTCGAGATGTGCTTACCACGTGGCTATTTATCAAAAGTCTTTTTTCTTTGGTTTTTTAATTCTTGGAGGCGAAGTAGTAATTATAATTTTTTTTTAATATATTACATGTTTGATAAACTGATATACTTCGTGATCATAATATAACACGTGTGTTTGTTTATCTTATCCATGCATAAAAGAAGGATGTGATATCCACATTTCATATTATTTCTCACATAATTTTTGATATTTTTTATTCATTGATCTTTTTCAATTCATTCAATTTAACGATTAAAAATTAAAAAAATATATAAAAAGTAAAATAAAACGTGTGGATATCACATCTTTATAAAAAATCTCGTGAAAGTAATGAGTAATTTCCAATTCATATTCAAAAAGCTTAAAGCATGGAATATGGGCCAGGGTCTGCTCTCCCCAATTCGATGACTTATTTGTGTCTCTTTCTTAATTATTTGACACTTGTCTGGTAACTTAACACCAAACTTAACGCTGTTAACTTTTCATAAATTAATTAAAAAACTAAAAAATAAAAACCATGACTGGATAACCACCGACTGCAACTACACAACCCATCGCCGCCGCCGACCACCGCAACCAGACAACCCCATCGCCGCCAACCACTGCAACCACACCAGTGACACCACCCCATTGCCGTCATCGCTGCTCCTCACAATTGGCTAAGATTTATTTCCTTTCCTCTCTCTTCAAATTCCCGGTGATCGATTGATCTCGTCAACACCTGTGAAGTGGGTATAGGAAATAATCAAAGAATACCAATGGAGAGAGAGAAAGAGAATACTCACCTGATTTTGCCTCACGGTTGGATCAGAGAAGGAAGGAGGGATGAAGCTTGCAACTTTTGACTTGCGGGAGAGGTTCCAATTTTGAAATTGAATGGAAGTTTGAGACCCTGCAATTTAATGGATGCAGGATGATGAGGGTTAAGGGTTTCTTTGAAGGATTGCAGGGAGATTTGCAAAAAGATTGGGGGAGGCTGCTGGTAGGCGTATCTGTCGTTTCGTTTTTTTTTTCCAGTTTTTTTTTTAATTTTAATTAAATTTTATGCAAAGTAACGGTGTGAAGTTTGAACTTAAGCAAAGGACATGTGTCACGAAACTAGAAATGAGACACGTAATTGCGGACAGCAGCCCCACGCCCTGGAATATGCCTATAAAGAGAAGGGTCTCTGTCCCTCAAAACCACAGAAACACAAAACCATGGCTTCATCGACCTCTCTCCTTCTGGTTTCTTCTCTTTTCCTTTCTTCCTTCTTTTGTGTCTCGGAGGCACAGTCCTCTGCCCCCGTAGTTCAAGGACTTTCATGGAACTTCTATGACTCTAGCTGCCCTAAGGTTGACGACATAGTCCGAAAGCAGCTTAAGAAAGTCTTCAAAGCGGACATTGGCCAAGCTGCTGGCTTGCTCCGTCTCCATTTCCACGATTGTTTTGTTCAGGTAACATTTAGCAAAGATTATACAGTTTTTAGTTTCTCGATTGCTTCGTGTCAGCTGTTTTATTGTCTTTAGCGGTCACTAAGGTTTTATTCCTTAAAGTTTATCCAAGTTTTTGTATACTATGATATTCTACTTTTAGAGATAATTAAATTATTATATAGTACAATGTCATTTGGTAAGCTTAATGGGAGTAATTTAAATTATTTTTATAAAAGTTGAAAATATTCATAGGTGCTTTCTGAAGAGCACATGCGTTTGTCCAAAAACACTTTTTATGATTCGTAAATGTTCTCTCTTGTAAAGGTAGTTGGAAGCTTTTTTGATAGTTAGAAAATACTTATAACCATTTTAGAAGCCGTCACAGAAAATATAAGATCGACTAATTAAATTGAGAAAATGATTAATGCAGGGTTGTGATGGATCTGTGTTGCTTGAGGGATCAGCCAGCGGACCAAGTGAGCAGGATGCACCTCCCAACCTGAGCTTGAGGGCGAAGGCCTTTGAGATCATCAATGACCTCCGCGACCGCGTTCACAACAAGTGTGGAAGGGTCGTCTCCTGTTCTGATATCCTCGCCCTCGCTGCTAGGGATTCTGTTTTCCTGGTAATTTTTATATTTATTGATTGCCTAAATATTAGTTAATTTTCACTAGAGCCTTAATTATCTTTTTCTAAAGCCGAAATTGCACGGCAATAAACCCTATTTTTCAAAGCTTTTGACTAAAGTCTAAACCAAACTACGATTTTTAAAGCTTTCGACAAAACTAAATAATTTGACCATGGTGATGGATGTGGAAATTTCCTTGATGACTTTTCAATCCTCTTTTTTTTTTCTTTTTTTTTTTTTTTTTAAGAAACTAAAGAAAATAATTAGAAAATTTTGAGTTTTAAAGATAAGGTTAAAATAAAGGGTAAAGTAAATAGTAATATGATTAATTTTTTAGTGTAAAAATAAGATTTTTTGTTAAAGTAAACTGGAAGTTTTTCGTTAAAAGTTTATTTTATTTTATTTTTTCCTTTAAATTACAAAAGTACTTTTAGAATTTTCCTTTTTAGTTTTAAATTAAAGGCGCTCCAACCATACCCATTGATATGAGAAAGGATAATGTTTGTATTCTTTCGTGGAAAATTATTTGTTTCTCACTTATGATTAACATCTTTTAATTGTAGTAACAATATAAATGATATCGTTCATTCTCTTTATTATTATTAAAAAATTATATTTGTAAAAATTAGTCATTTATGTGCATGAAACAAATAGACAACTCATCGTAAAGATATTAGTTATTCCAAAATCCATCTAATGCATATGAATGATTAATCGATCTTTAAATTAAATAATATTTTACTGATAGGATTTTTAGATGGTCATGATAATGTAAAATATTCGATAATAAAGTTCGTACGGCAGAGATAATAGCCTTTTATTATAAATGAGGGTACAAGCATGTTTCCGGGAAACACAAGCAAGAATTTGTGTGGTGCAGATGTTTTTGACATCGCAGAAGCGGATACCTTCCCTGTTGTCCTTATCGAACAACCAACTGTTTTCAATATTTAAAGTACCTTACCATAGATCCCAGGGAACTATTACTCCACACGGTTCAATATAGTTGGATGCAAGTGGATAAATTATGATAATCAATATCTGCATGTTTGCAATTTTCTGGACATTTATACATCCCATGCAGAAAAACTTATATACAACGCATTCCATCACGGGTGTCATGATCAAATTTATATATTTATTATTTTATCAAACGGAACTTGACGTTGACGGTTATAAATTATTTTTTACAAGAGAAAGAAGGACCTAATCAGAGTCATGTACACTAGTGTGACATATTGGTTTGTAATACCACAATAGTTTATACGCTTGTTGAACTCTAGATGATAAATGTGATATCATTGCCTAGTTAGACTTCTTCCAAGTGTTGGTTATCTTATGCTTTGATATAAACATTTTAAACGATTTACCTTCATGAATCTTATCTCGTGGGGCATCTGAATGAACTAGTTAATTCATTTCCATATCTCTAGTCCATGTGTTATAATTTAAATTAAAAAGTGTTCCCGTTTGTGGAGTTGGTAGAACCTTAAATTATATCACAACAATATAGAAATATAAGAGAATCAAGGCGCATATGATAATCTATTGCATATTTTTCGTTTTTATATTTTCCTCTAGCACATGACTATCTGTTTTTTAATTGTTTTACTGAACAAGTAGTTAGTAGCTTTACTTAATCAATGTAGTAGTTGGAATGGTGTTACTTTTTCATATTAATGTACGAACCACTAAGATGCCCACGATTAGCAACAAGTAGAAATTGTTAAATCTTAAACAATGACCAAGACTTTCTCTTTGGCGTGTACACGTAATTTTAGCACTAATTAAATCACTAATATTCCGCCACTTGGAGCATTTCGATCCAATCCAATCGATGTCAAAGAAAATGGGACAATAGATTGAATTATCTAAGGGCCTTAAATGACAAGAATTTAATACTACAGAGTACTAAAACGTCACTCGCAACTTTTTGTTATATGAATAAGTGTTTGTTTTGAATATTGTTGATGCAGTCAGGTGGCCCGGACTATGATGTGCCCTTGGGAAGAAAGGATGGACTAAACTTTGCCACACAAAATGCAACCCTAGCAAACCTTCCCCCACCAACCAGTAACACAACCAAGCTTCTAACAGATCTTGCCAAGAAAAACTTAGATGCCACTGATGTTGTAGCCCTGTCTGGAGGTCACACCATCGGCCTCAGCCATTGTTCCTCTTTCACCGGCAGGCTCTACCCGACGCAAGACGCTACCATGGACAAAACTTTTGCAAATGACCTCAAAACAGTTTGCCCTGCAAACAATACTAACGCTACCGTCCCGCTAGATATCCGTACCCCTGACATATTCGACAACAAGTACTATGTTGATCTCATGAACCGCCAAGGTTTATTCACGTCAGACCAAGATTTGTACACCGATAAGAGGACTAAGGAAATTGTGAAAAGCTTTGCCGTTAACCAGACGTTGTTCTTTGAGCAGTTTGTCAAGTCCATGATCAAGATGGGGCAACTTAGCGTGTTGACTGGCTCCAAGGGTGAAATTCGGGCAGATTGCTCGGTCAGGAATTCGGATAATGCTAACTACTTGGCCTCTGTGGTGGAAGATGATGAGGAGAGCTTGTCTGAGTTTTAAGCAATATATCTGTTAACTTGTTTATATTTGTGATGACAGTTTAATTATGTTCCAGAAACCTGCATCTAACGTTTTAGTGTGTTTTGTGTTAAAATGTGTGTAATAACGAGCTCTTTATGCACGAATTGAGTTTGAAGTTATTGAAAAATCAAAAAATTATTCAAGTTTAATTTTCTTATGAAGTACTTAGGGAAGTCTTGGTTCGAATCAAGCGAAACTAAAGGCATTCGTTTGACCTGAGATGCTAAGGATCGAACACTTTTAGAATACTCTGTTAAGAGTTTATCTCGATACATGTTTCCATCTAAGGTTTGGTCTCATAGTCATTGCGGGACTACAAGACTTACTTAGTATTTAGGGATCGGATTAGACTAACACTGGTAGTCTCATGAGCAGTGTCGAATTGTATATTCAGAGGCTGAAGGGGTTCAAAGAGTCCAGAACTCTATGCTGGCCTGATGATCAAGCAATTGGCTGTCAGGTGGGTTGTAGTGTTCTTTTATGGATGAAATTCTGTGACTCGAGCCACTATAAGTACAAGGGATCCCTGCACATACAGCATACGCAACAAAATCTTATAACTCATCACTGAGTCGAGTGCACAAGGGCATGTGTAGAAGCTTTCTTGTCGTTTAAGCAACCAAAGTTCTCGAGAATGACCACTCCAGGTATGTTACGCCTGCTCTATTAGTTATAATCATTTAGGTCTAACATAGTGAACAATACTTTAACTTCATCAAAACATATTTGGTTTCCACTTTTGAAGTTACTGAAAGAAATTCATACGTGAGAAGTGAGAAAGACGAATTGAAATTTCAAAGACGTAGCCAAGTTAAGGAGTGTAGTTGCAAACAAGCAAATTTGAATTATTTGATACCAACTATTTATACGCCCATAGCACATGATTCATGGGCTGCTGCCTATTATGCTGGTGAGTTAGTCCAGTCGCCTGTAATATTTATATGGTTGTTAAGATGTCTGCAAAGCTCATTTTATTATCTAGGATAAATTTCTATATTTAAAGAACACCATGATTCATGGGCTGCCTATTATGCTGGTGAGTTAGTCCAGTCACCTGTAATATTTATATGGTTGTTAAGATGTCTGCAAAGCTCATTTTATTATCTAGGATAAATTTCTATATTTAAAGAACACCAAGGGAATTCGAACCCTTCCCATTTTACTCCTTCAACACTTTGACCACCATTTCACTTATGTTTTTGTGAAAATATGCTAAAATACTTATATATATGGTTTTGTTTTCAATTCTTTTTGCAAGGAACATATTTGCACATGACAATGAATCTTTGACAATTTCTTTTCAAGTATCTACTTTTCAACTACTCACCAGTCACCACGTTCACTCACCTAACTAATTAGTTGTAGTCATATTTCTATATATATGGTTAGGTAGTTCTATTTCTATATATACAAATAAAATCAAATGGTCCTTGCCGTCCCTTATTCTCAACATCTCTCCAAAACAAAACATAATGCTCATGTTATTCTCAACATCTATCAACCTCAATTCCCCCCCAAGTTAAAAAAAAAATTGAACTATAGTAAGTTATTCTCATTCATTAATGTTATTTAATTTGCATGTTTGTTATTATCTATTCCAAATTTTTGGTGGTATTATATTTTAAATTGTGTCAATTAATTACTTAGTCAATGGCATGTGGTTTTTAATTTTTCTATTTTTTATTTGGTCACTTACATGTGTGTTTATTGTCTCTTAATTCATTATTAAAGACTTTATATGTTTTCATCACATTTTGTTACATTTGTGTAATTATTATTTTATTGTTAGTCCATGCAAATTCTATTTGGCCTTTACACAAAGGGTTCCATATTTAAGGTAAGTTTACAAACTTATATTTATATTATTGTAATTTATATAACAACAAAAAAATTTGTGTGGACCCGTGCATGTGATCTAAGAACCAAATAATACTTGCATGTTAATGTTTTGAAGTAATTAAGTAATGTTGTATAATTATTCCCTAGGGTAATTTTAATATGTTTAATGTTATTTATTATTTTATTATCAAATTGGATTATTATTCATTAATATTAGGTTTTATTATTCCATATTATTTTTATAATTACTTAAATTCTTACAATCATTTTCTTTACTTCCTATTTAATTCTTCTGTAGAATAACTTTATTATTTAGGTTCTCTTATATAACCGTCACAACTATATTTTTTGGCCAAAAAATAATTGCCTAATTTCCATGAAAAATAAATATAGGTACGTTTAAGATGTCTAGTTGAGTTACTAAATGTGATCCAGCTTGGGAACACGGAGACCCAATACACGGAAACAAACATGGCACAATTTGCAAATATTGTGGTCGGGTAATGAAGAGTGGCGGAGTGACAAGACTTAAGTACCATCTTAGTGGATTAGATCCAGAAAATAATGTCCAACGATGTGATAATGTCCCCCTAGAAGTAAAGGCATTCATCACCACATTATTAAAAAATAAAAAACACCAGAAGGAAAAGAAAACACATGGAATGGAAAATATTCGAGTTGGGCTACGAGGAGAAGTCATTGGCCAAGCGGTTGACAGTGATGATGATGACGATGAGGATGAATGTGATGATGACATGGGACCTGAATAACCACACAATTTCAAACAAGCATTACGTGCCTCCAAACAGTCAGCATGGGAAAGAGAACACCTTCATAAAATTCCTAATAGAGCACAAGGTTCCGGGACAAGTGGTGGTGCACAAATGAGACGGGGAGCAAGTTTTAGAGAATCACAACCAACACCACCAATAGCCCCAAGTTTATATAAGTCATCCAAAGCACGTCAAAAGAGTGTTTGGAGTTATTTCACTGGAGGTAATGTGAATGAGGGAATGGGGCGTCTAATTAGCAAGTTCTTTATCTATGAAAATGTCCTTGCTGAGAAGGCATCATCACATCATTTAAAAAATATGGTATTGGGATGTCAACAAGCCGGTGTTAGAGTACAACCTCCCATTCCCTATGAGGTAAGAAACAAATATTTGGAAAATGGAGTATAAAGACATTGGCGAGTATGTTAACAAGTTAAGGTCAAAGTGGGAAACTAATGGTTGCACAATCATGTGTGACGGATGGACTGGCTCGACCAGATTCTCTATCATAAACTTCATGGTATACTCCAAGGGAAAGACAATGTTTTTGAAGTCCGTTGATGCTTCATACCATATAAAGAACTACAAGTATATTTACAAATTATTGAGCGATGTAATCATGGAGGTGGGAGAGCATAATGTTGTCTAAGTCGCGACCGACAACGGTTCTGCATTTGTCAAAGCTAGAAAAAAGTTAATGAAGCATCATAATGTGTTTTGGACATCATGTGCAGCACATTGTATTGATCTCATGTTTGAGGCAATGGGGAAGAGAGAGAATATTGCTAATGTCATAAAAAGAGCTAGAACGATCACAAATTATATTTACAATCACGGTTGGTTGTTGGCAAAGATGCGTGAATTTCGCAAAGGAGAAATTATTCTTCCAGCTACCACTTGATTCGCCACCAACTATATTGCATTAGACAGCCTACTTAAGAAGAAAGCAGGGTTGAAGCAACTATTCACTAGTGACGATTGGGCCAACCACAATTTCAACCGCTCAAATGCAGGTCGTATGGTCGAAAGTATAGTGCTTGATCATGCTTTTTGGACTCAATCAGAACACGTGTGCCAAGTGTTTGAACCTCTTTACAAAGTTTTACAGATCGTTGACACAGAAGTGTATCCTACTATGGGGGCAATATATGAGTTGATGCATGTAGTGAAGGAGGACTGGGAAAGAAAACATGGTGCAAGGTGGGTCATAAAGATAATTGATGACCGATGGTATAAAACATTATACCACGATTTGCATGCAGCAGGTATAAATTATGTCATAATTTGCAATTCATTTCTTTAGTTGCATAAGTATTATTTCTCTTATTAGAGTATGTGTTTCTTTGATTATCATATTATTTGAATCCTCGATACCAATACAGACCCGGTGTTGGAGATGATGGTACCCTTATACGTGCTGTACATAATGTATACTTTAAATTAGACCCTGCATCACCAGTAGTTGGCCAATTTGGAAATGAGGTACACAATTACTTAAATTATAATAATTACATTGTTGGATTAAACTAACATGATTTGTTGAATTCAGCTAACTTGGTTTAAATATGCAAGAAGAACTTTTGGAGAACCAACATCAGTTGCTGCTTGAACAAAAATGTCTCTTAGTGAGTGTAAACATATTTCACTATCAGTTTATAATAGAATTTGTTGGAGTTATTAGGCTTATCAACATTGTTTTTCATTATAGTTGAATGGTAGATCATGTATGTGACACACCCCAATCGAGATCAGGGCATGCTGGCCGTCACGTGGAAGTGATGTAACCATGTGCACAGTGCGGAAGCTAATAAAATAATAATAAAAGTATGAATAAATAAAAACCAGCTATACATAACGTAAGAACATACATGTGCAAGCGTAAGTGTGAAAACAAAGTTCAGAGCACAAAGACCTAATGCAGTCCGGGAGAAACAACGCTACAAAAACACACCCAAAGGTGGTCCTGCATTGGTGATAATCTGTCAGATATGTCGGGAAAATCCTCTGAGGAGGCACCAAAAGTGCTAGCCAACTAGAACCTGGAGGGGCGCAAAACAGAAAGTGTGAGTGGGCAAAAACAAAGTTTTTCAAAAACCATTTCATAAACAAAGTTCTAACCCCTCACCGTAAAACCTGTATACTTCTTAGAAAAATAGGATATATACATATATATAAATCATGCTCGGAAATATGCCATGTCAAAGGTCTCTAAATAGAATGCAAGTGCTCAGGAAATGTCAAATTAATGCCATGTAATCTGTCAGCTGGAGTCACATAACGTGACCTGTACGGCTGAATCTAGAGCTCAAATCTCCATCTCACTAACTGTACCTGCACACGAGTCGGAACCACCTAAAGTGGTCTGTATGACAGGACTGGGTGTATAATAAGTATGCTCAAGTGCTACGATCACGTGAAGGCTGGGCGAATAATCGCGAGTCACCTACGAGTCGAAACCACCTAAAGTGGTATGTACGACAGGACTGTGCACCTAAATTGGATCCAAGATGAGCGTGTGGTGCGGGTGGTGAACATCACGTGAAGGACTGTGCCCAACTCTGGGCGGGAGCACTAACACCGGGGGTGCAGGTTATGAGCTCTCTATGCATCTCAAATCACTACTGAACATAAGCATAAATCATACTCAACTGACACTTACCTGTGCGCCCGCATCACCAACATACAAACATATATATGCTACTAATAATATATAAACAAACGGCAAACATAATGCATGGCATATAAATGTATAAACGTTTCCATTCACTTTCTGGGAAAAACGTAAGTATATAGGTATATACGAAAAACCAAAAGCCCACTCACCGGTATGTAGAAGGGTCGTAACCCCCTTGCCTCGAGTGACCGCACTCGTCTTCGGGATAGGTCTCACCTATATGCGAAACAACTATAAAAACGTTAATTTTAAAACACATAACCAATATCACGAAATAACTTCTCATACAATGCTCAAATGGGGTGTATGAATACACCAACATGATCTACTCAACCTCAGGAACATCCCCATATTTTTAGAAAAATTTTCCGACACCGCACGCGCCGCCCTTCCACAGGCATGTGCCTGGCACACTGACGGCGTCAGTTAACGCCGTCAGGAATATTCCGTTAATTCTAACTGATGCCGTTAACGCCGTTAGGAATATTCCGTCATCTTCTCTGACCAAACTTCGGCGCCGGAAAATTGGGAAAACTTTAAAACCTTGTATCTTCTTTGTTTTTCCACCAAATTTCACAAAATTGGTACCAAAATGAAGCTTACAACAAGAGGAACAAATCCATACCACTTTCAAGAACTAAAACCCACGGAATCTCACCGGGAAAACACCACCAACTCCGGCCAAGCTTGTAACTCACAATCCCGACGTCTAAAACCTTTAAACGAACCACCCCGAGCCTCCAAAGGACCTCACCAAGCTTCCTACAAGCTTGAAATTCCCAAAAACACAAGAATTAACGTGTGCATGAACAGTGACCAAATCGGGGTATCCCGAGTTCGACGTGAAAACGTAGGTATCCTTACCTGAAATGGGTATGGTTGAACTCCTATGGACCTCACGAGCACGAATATGTAATTTGTTTCCTCGATCTGTGAAGGTTTTAATGGTTTTTGGGTGTGTCCGTACATATGGGAATAGAAATAGGAGAGAGAGAGGGAAAGGGACAAGAAAAAATGTGAGGGGGGTGTGAGAGAGTGTGTGTGGTCCAAAACCAGCCAAACAAAATCCAAAAACAACCACACAACGAAACAAACATGATAAGGGCAAAATCATCATTTCATCCCTACGGTTCGAAAAGTCCGGGACGGGCTGTCACAATATGGGACTGATGCACCAACTGTGAGAAAGTTAGCAATCAAAGTATTATCACAAATAACTTCCTCATCTGTTTGTGAAAGAAATTGGAGTACATTTGCACTCATACACACAAAGCAAAGAAATAGGTTGGCTCATAGTAGGTTGGAAAAATTAGTTTATTGCTACTACAACATGAAGCTTCAAATTCGAGATAAGGAAGTAGAAATAGATCATGTCGACCGTGGTGACCCACTAGATGTGTTTGATATTGTTGCTGAAGATGATGATACAGAGGGTAACCAACTTTATCAATGGATTAGACCTCTTCATTTAGATGATGACGAAGGCAACCCAGCTCTAAGAGTTGCTGAAGAAGCATGTAATGAAGGGATAAATGTAGAAAAAGTATTAGAGGAGGAGGTGGAATCTAGCAGCGCTGAATCTTTGGAAGAACTTTTGCGCCCAAGACCAAGAAACACTGGAATTCCACCTTCTTCCAATCCTACACAACCACAAGATCCTGCTGATACTAATGATAGCTCTAGCACAAGATCAGGAGACTTACCTACCACCGTAGGTGGGAATGATGAAGGATATAGTGGAGTTGAAGGTAGTGGTGGATATGGAAACTATGTTGAACCACCTCCCGGATTTATGAGCCCCTTCACTGGTGAGGCAAACTTCACACGTGCAACACAGGATGAGGACCATGGCAGTAGGCGGGCAAGACCAGGACTTGGTGCCATAGGGAAGGACTATACTCGTAGAGAAATAGGCAAGGGGACTTTGTCAAGTCAAGAAGATGACTCGTTATCTATAACTTCGGACTCTGTTGGAGTGGGAAGTAGTAACTATGCTTATACTCATAACCAACCATTTCCCCACCCTTCATATCCCATTCCTGTTGGGATGGAATGATTTTGCTTATGGAAAACGTCATCCAATCTCGGATCCATATAAGTGGCATGTTAACAATTACATGCAAAACTATTTTGGGGATTTATCATTTGATGACTACTCTTCACAATACACTTACTCTACACATAGAGATGATGAAGATAGTGAAAATTTTGAACCTCATAGGAACTCTATGTGGCACTAAGTCACTCATGTATCTTACCATGCAATGTATAAAGTGTAAAATATTGTACTAATTCATTATATACAAATGATTATGGTGTGTTTAAACTTCTTTCATTAATTACTACATATTTTCTACACTCACAATGTTTGCCAGCTCGCTATATAATCAACTTAAAATCAGTTAAATCCATCATGCAATGCATTTTCTTCCAATTTTTTGTGATGAACTAATAGATAATTGACTAAATAAACATCATGCAAAGTTTCAATAAAAATTTCCAAGTTTTTCTTACAATTTCCGTGGTTTTTATTCAATTTTTATCGATATCAATAATATCCCCATATTTCCATTGAAATTTCCGTGTTTTTGGACTTCTGATATTTCAAATATCATCGATATTGACTTAAACTCAGTTGATGAACACTGTTCATCAACAGTGATTTTACGTTTTAGCCCCTGTATTGCTGTTTGTTTGCCCTTTTATTTTTCAATCTTGAAAGTAAAATGGCAGTTTTATCCCTGTTGTACACGTGTGGGTATAATGGTCCTTGAGTTCCAGCTGTCGTTCGCCCTTTTCGAAAGCGTAAGGCCACGTGTTGGTCATCGCGGTAAGCTTTGCTATTGCTTCCAGTAGAGGTCTCTCGATCTCTCCAGCTCTCTCTTTGAAGAACCAAAAATCTCTTCAGTTCTCTCTCATTTCCAGCGTCCACCGCCACCACTCAGACGTCCCCAAAGGTAGATTTCTTTTCTCTTCCTTAGATTCGGAATCTTGAAAATCCTCGTCGATATCGTTTGATGTCTGCACAGCTATCGGCCAACCAAGCTCGCCCATTTGGGCTTCCACGCCCACCCAACAAAACCCCCAATAACAATCACAACAATCCACAGAAGGGTTATGGACACCACCATCGTGGGTCGTCTTAGAATCCGAGCAGAAAAACCCAGAAGTTTAAAAAACGAAAAAAAGACAAAAACCCTCGATTGAATCGGATACTGGTATGGTCCCTTACAGGAGGAAAAAACATCAATTTTCTTGCTTGAAAGTTTAGTTTTTGTTAATTTTTTTTCACAGATTGTAGTTTTTCTTTGTTGCATTTGTCAGTTGCCCTCAACAATGAATCACTTGCTAAACGTAATGTTTGTTTATTTGGGCATGTTTAGAGGTTTTGCTGCACTGTTTTTGTCATGAGCGCAAACAAGTCTTTCCATCAGGATGGCGTCCACTAAAGTCTTCAACTTGAACGCAAACGGGCATAAAACAAGTAGAGGTTGGTTGCCTGCAACCTAAATTCCCAATAGCTAGGGTTTAAATTTTATAAGTTTTGGATTTTTTAATTAAGCCGACCCTAAGTGGATAAAGCTTGGTTGTTGTTGTTGTTGATGGTTTTTTTAGTTAATTGTTTGGTTTGGTTGGTACTAGATAATGTGTGATTCTGATGAAGGGATTAACAAGTTACCAGATGAGGTTGTTGAGAAGGCTGCTCCGATTTCAAGACTCACCCTGTTCTCCTCTTGCAAGGTAATAATTGCATTAATTGTTATGGCAATTGGGTTTTCAAATTTGTGTTTTCAATATTATTTCTGTTGGAATATAATTTTTGTTGAACTGAATTTGTTCAGATATCTGAATACATCATAAATCTCATTGCTTAGTCCATAATTCATAAGACTCACCTGAAGGCTGCTTTTAACGATGTTCACAGTTGCGGTTCCATCAGCACTAGGCAGGTCATAAAGTGAATCCTCTGCAAATTCTGTTGGTAATGACTTCCAGTATATTCTATATCTTCTTGAACCTGAATTTGATTTTAGTACATTTACGCGCAAACGCACATACACACAATTACAAGTACTGCTCATACGATTTTGACACAAATATCAAATATGTAACTCATTATAAAGTGAATTACTAAAGTCTTTGAATGCATTATCCCTCCTATGAAGTCTCCAGGTAGGATCTGTATATCCATGTACCTTGGGAAAAACTGGCTCTAAAACCAACAGAGCATGCCTCGAGTTCCAACCAACATATCCTCGCACCAGTACGTCGGCCATTATGCCCATAAAGATTACGGTCAGTAATGCCATTAACATGGAACTTTATCTAGGAAATGAAAATGTATGGCCTATTTTATAAGCATTTCATATCTTTAGTTTTTATTTTTCATTTTTGAGTTACCAGATGAAGTAGAAATACATGGGAGAAATCTAGAAGAAGAAATGTAATAGAAGGACTGCACAAAATGAAGGGTAAAAACATTTTATTTATGTTGTTTTCATTCCTTCTTTATTTCTTGTTCCCACCATCCTTCTTCATCCCTTATTTTAGACGACCATGGTAGATATGCCTAAAAGGATTGAATATTCCACATGGTATGAGCCAACAAGGAGATTAGCATTAGAAGTACTTTTCATCATGGATAAAAGACAATTACAGTAAAAAGTTAACCATGAAAGTAAAGAGACCCTTGAAGGAGGAGAAGGGAAAAGTAAATATAAATTGGGAAAAAGAAAAGGAGTTATGTATAGTATATTCGCTCTACCAAATATCATTGTTGCTTTTTGCTTCTGCCATCTCTCTTTCTCTCTCTCTCTCCCTCTCTCTCTCTCTCTCTCTCTCTCTCTCTCTCTCTCTCTATATATATATATATATAAATATATATAATTTCTGTTTTTTTTCTCACTGTTTTTAGTATAATTTGCGTTCATTTTGCTGACGGTGTTTGACTTTTAGTTTTCATACTCAGAAAAAGAAGCATGTAAGAAAACCCTCACATGAATATCTCAAAATCTGGGTCATAATTCATGAATTTTGATGAATCGTGGGTCCAGAACCAATTATTATTTTAGTGTGAATTTGAACATGTCTTGATTAATTGAGGAGTTCTGGTAATTATTAGGCTACAATTTATTCATCAGATTTTAATAGGACAGAGAGGAAGCATACGAGTTTTTCCACCATCTTCTGCTTTATTGATAAACCCACAATCCTCAATACAAAACTTTCTGGGTTTAACTAGAATTTTCTTTTGAATATGTTCATGTGCCTATTACAACAAACTACGTATTAATTGAAGTTGTTGTTATTGATTGACTATTACAAGTTTTATCAGCCTCTTCATAGCATATACTATTCATTTGTTTAAGTTTTGTTACTCTGTCATTGTGCTGAAGCTAGTGGTTCACCACTTTGAGTTGGTATTATAAGTTGTGTGAACAAAGAATATATCAACTGTTGAGTTTGTGACATTATTTGCGCGTATTGAACTTTCTTTTTTGTGGACAATTTAGGAATACAAGTACTGGATTTGAGGTGTAGACGAGGAATTGGGGACAGAAGAATTAGGTACAGTGTTTCTAAGAAACGACCAAATGCATATTCCTCACTCACATAAAACCTCTGAACTTATATAATTAGTGTTGATTTACACGTGTGCTAAACATAATTTATAACTTTTTCTTACGTATTACACATAATCAGTTTGAGCATGATTGAACTGATTGGTTTGAGTTTGAGTGGCAACTTGGATTCATAAAGGCTGTAAAGTTTAGGAGCCTTTTTTGCTTAAATAAGGCAATACTATTCCAACTTATTTTCATTGTTATCATCTATTGTTCAAACCACAACCATATTTGTTCTCTCATTTGCACTAAGACTGTTATTCACGTACATTAACAACTTTCTGTATTTTCCAATTATGTAACAGACAAAACAAAACCTACATGTGAGAAGAAAGGAGAAAGCTCTACCTAAAGCAGAACCCTACCCATGGACACATTTTGTTACTCATGTAAATATTACTCCACCCTTGGTCAATTTTGTTCCTCATTGTAAATAAGATTATAAATAAATTTTCACATTTCTATAAAAAGTACTCCATCCCTGGAAACCTATGTTGTTCCTCGTTACAAGTATATGTTTACATTTAGGATTTTGACACGTTTTATACAACTTTAAAACCCGCAGCATCGTGTGGGCAACCTTGCTAGTTTATATATATACATCAGCCAACTAGATTTTAAACCTGATATGAGATCAGATTTAGTAAATCCTTTAAGCTTGTGGAAGACAACATGTACACATCTAACAATTTATTAGCAAATGGGTTGTTTTATTCACACCCGAAGTTTTGTTGACTACACCTCATATATATTTTTTAAATCAAAATTTATTTTAATACACCTCACATGTTTTCCAATGCTACCCTCCCACTCCCCACACGCTCTACTCAAACCCCACATCAAACTCTTCGTAAGTTCTACAAACTCGTTTTCTTCACAACGAAACTAGAATCAAGTATGAAACAAAAAATTTCCCCTATTCTCTATTCAATATATAACATTGTCATTCGATGGGGTTAAATAGCCATACCTTCCGCCAATCTTTTCGTTGATAACATTGTATTGTTCCTTCTCTGTCCGAATATATATGAATTCACATGCACTACTATTCAGTGTTATATCAATTTGTTCCTCTAGGTTGCACCTGCAAAGTAAAAAAATGTATTGCTGGTGTTAAACTGACCAGTTTCCTTTTCCTCTTTTCAATTCCAAAATTTCTCTTATCAGAGAATCAATCAAATTGAAGATCTGCAGAACAAGGATGAAAAATAATCTTTTTCCATCAACGTTTTGTGCTTCTAGTGGTTAGAGTTTTGTTATACAATGAAGGAGGTGAGTGACTTTGAGATCTTGAAGAAAAACAATCTTAGAATACATGTCTAAATTAACTTGGGATGTATTTAGAAAATAATTTTCATTTTTAAATTTTATTAGGCCTAAATGGTCATTTTATATTAGGTATATAAGCCACTTAACAATAAACTTTTATTTGGGGTGTATTCAACAATATGTGAAGTGTTAATAAAAAAACCCTTAGCAAATACAGCTCAACAAATTACAAAATTATTGAATATTGGCAATTACTACTTTAAACTATACTAAGAAGGATGATTTGAACACAAAGCATAATGAGTTGAAGCAAAATGCTCTATCCATCTAGACAATCTATCATATACAATAGTAAGATTTAATTTATTGTCAAGGACATAGCTCAATCGTTTTCGCATTATTAGACCGACTCCAACAATGGGCTAAGACCTATAATTCCCCTCCCACCCCACACCCCCCCCTCCCGAAAAAAAAAATCCACTCCAACCCACGACCTAAAATTAACCTAAAACCTAAAACCCAAATGGAGGTCAAATACCAGCCCAAGTTTAGGCCACAAAGTGAAGTGGACCCCAGTTTCTGTGACTGAAACTTGGGCTGTGAAGCCCAATTGCCCTCTGTCATTTGCTCCACGAGTAGCACGCAAGGCCTTCAACCTGCATTCAACCGAGGTGGGCCCCACCCACGTGGGTGTGTGCCCGGTTTGTCAAGTTTTGTTTGTAGCCAATAGCTACTTTTCTTCATTGGGTGGTGGTGGTAATTGGACCATTGGTTAATCCAGTGGTCCACATTCAAATTATTTTTTTTAGTTTTATATTTATATATTATTGAATCCAACGGCTTAGATCGAATATAATCAAATCTAACGGTAAAAAAAGAACTAACGGTCCAAATTAAAATCCAACGACTAACATAATTTAAAAAAATTATTTAACTCAAAATTCAACCACAAACTCTACAAATACCTATGTATTTGTTCAAACATCCACACAAAACTCACTTTTCTCCTACAATTCTTCCAATTTTTCTTTCTACCATTTCTTCTCATTTCCAAATTTTTCAAGATGGCAAAAGAGCATGTTAGAGGTCGTAATTGGACCTTTGACGAAGATATTGCTTTATGTTTGGCATGGATTTTTATTAGCGAAGATGGTGCCGTTGGCACGAATCAAAATAGAAAGGTTTTGTGGGGTAAAATCGTTGATAAGTTCTATGAAAACTCCAATGCCGGTTAAAGGGAAGCTGGTGGTGTTTATAATCAGTGGAAGATTATCAACAAAGCGTGCACTTTGGGGAATGGGAGCTTGGAGAGAGCCATGGTTGACATGCCTAGTGGAAGGGGAGCCTCAGAAATTGTGAGTTTTTTTGTTGATATTTTATTTTTCATGTACATAATAGTATTTTGCAAATAATTATTTTTATGTATTTGTTGCATAAGGTGACAAAGCAATGGCTGTGACATCCCACATCGCCCAGGGGAGTGATCCTTAAATATATACTCTCATCCTTACCTAGCACGAGGCCTTTTGGGAGCTCACTGGCTTCGGGTTCCATGGGAACTCCGAAGTTAAGCGAGAAGGGGGTTAGAGCAATCCCATGATGGGTGACCCACTGGGAAGTTGCTCGTGAGTTCCCAAAAACAAAACCGTGAGGGAATGGTAAGCCCAAAGCGGACAATATCGTGCTACGATGGTGGAGCGGGCCCGGGAAGTGATCCGCCCGGGCGGGGATGTGACAATTTGGTATCAGAGCCTAACCCTGGCCGCATGTGTGCCGACGAGGACGTCGGGCCCCTAAGGGGGGTGGATTGTGACATCCCACATCGCCCAGGGGAGTGATCCTTAAATATATATTCTCATCCTTACCTAGCACGAGGCCTTTTGGGAGCTCACTGGCTTCGGGTTCCATGGGAACTCCGAAGTTAAGCGAGAAGGAGGCTAGAGCAATCCCATGATGGGTGACCCACTGGGAAGTTGCTCGTGAGTTCCCAAAAACAAAACCGTGAGGGAATGGTAAGCCCAAAGCGGACAATATTGTGTTATGGTGGTGGAGCGGGCCAGGGAAGTGATCCGCCCGGGCGGGGATGTGACAATGGCAATTTACAAGACAAGAGCTACACCAAAAAATCAAGCTTTTAAGTTGCATCATGCTTGGAACATCCTCAAGGATTGTCCGAGGTGGGGAACCGATGCGGACCAACAATGGGGAAGATTATTTCATAGTGAAGCCCCACCCCTAAATGATGTCAATGAAGGTGTGAATTTTTCTAACAATGAAGGTGTCGAACAAATGACCCCAACTTCTTCTTTTGCAAGGCCCCAAGATCCGATATGTGCACAATTTGCCAGCGAAAAAGTAAGAATGAATGAAAACCATGTCTCTCGGCAAGAAGAATCGGCCCAAATGCGTTTGGCCATGAAGGAACAAGGGGATATGGAGTAAGAAAGGTTCGAAATTAATTGATGATGGATGACCTTGACAAATACACTCCAGAGAGGAAGAAATACTTACGTGATAAGCAAAAGGACATTTTACGAATGAATGCTACAAAAAGTATATCTTAAGATGACGATTCATCTCAAGACTATCACCCAAGTCCATCACCAAGTCAAGATGGTGGATATCATTATTAAGTTTATGAGTTTTCGATTATATTAAGTTTATGTGGTTTATTAATTGTTTTTTTTTTTTTTTTAAGTTTATGTGGTTTATTAATTGTCGCTTATTTTTCATTTGTATTAAATTTATGTGGTTTATTAAATGTCGTTTGTATTAAGTTTATGTGGTTTATCATGATTTTCATGTATTGATTTAGTGATTTTTCAAAATTTATCGGAATTTAAATATTTTAAGGTTAAAATGTTCATATAATTAATTTAGGATAGTCTACATAATTTTTTTTTTTTAAAAGTTAATTTAAAAAAAAAAAAGCCTTAATTCATTCTTTGATAATCTTAGGTTAAAATTTAGGAAAACTAACGAAAAGTCCAAAAAAATTTCCTTCTAATGAAAAAGCCATTTTTAAAGGTATAGTGAATAGTACCAGGGAAATGTATGAATGTGGTTTTTTGTTAAAAGTGAACAGTACTGGGAGTGTTTTGTTAAACCTCCCTTAAAATTTTAGATCAGAAGGGTTAGAGCAAAAAAGTTGTTTCTAGGCTAAAACCTAAATTTTCTAGGCTAAATATTTTTAGGTTTTAGGTCACCATTGGAGATGGTCTTATTGATGGCAATTCGTCTTTGTGATATTTGATCGAGGGCCAACACGATTGTGAGACTCATAGACCAGCATAAAAAAGTTGATCTAGTTAGTAAGTAGTCACATTTGGGTTTGCACGGGTTTTTATTTATTTATTTATTTTTTCAAATTTTGTTAGGAGGTTTCGAAACTATTACAATAATTTAGGGGGTGTTTCGAACAAGGGATGCAGTGGTAGAAATCCAACACTTTATCCATTAGGATATTGAACAACATGCAAGTTTGCACGGTTAGGTAATTAATGCCATGGTTATAACTTTTGCACAATTCATATACTATTTTTCATAACATCAAGCTTGAAATTTCATATATGAAATTAATTAAGTTTGTGATATTTAATTTCCGTCTATAAACAAACGAGTAAACACCCCCAACATGATTACATCACAAACGGGATTCGTTTTAAATGGATTACATGACTTTGATACGAATCTCGTGTTACTCTGTTGTGTTACAAAGTTGGTTACTTTATACATGACAAGATAGCACGAGATGAAATAATTAATCATTGGAGCTTGAGAGTTGAGAACATTTTGTATTTGGTTTTGGTTGCAGCTGAAGCTATGCTACATATAGTAAATTCTCTGTAAAGTAACACTTAATGTTAAATTAACATGGCTAGATTTCAAATCCAACTCAAAACACACATCCACCCATTTTTAGGTCATCAAGGCTCACCAACCATGTCAATCCTAAGTCCATATCTAAATCCATGGTGTTGAAGTCAGCCTGCCACAGTGGCTACTTCCCATGTACTCGACACGTGGCCAAATCTAAGACATCCATTTCAAATTATATTCTCACTTTAATTCAACAGTTCTTTTTATTTTCCGTTATTTTTTTTTAAATCCAAAAATATTGTGAAAAAAAATCAAGAAAAAATCAGAAAAATAATCAAATAAAAATTAAAAAAAAAAAAAATTCAACGGTTACATGTAATTATTAGGCTTTTAAGATGTA